GAGAGAGAGAGAGAGAGAGAGAGAGAGAGAGAGAGAGAGAGGGCAGGCCGACCGCAACGGGTCACCGGGATCACCGAGCCCGGACTTTTATTTCATTTTCACCGGTCATGGATGGATGGTAACAGTACATCCGATCCCGTTGGTTAGCGGGCGGTTCCATTAAGTAAACGTGCCCAGCGCTTCCGGACAGCGGAGAATGGGACCTGTCAGGCACATCGATCAGCTCAGGTTATTACGGCTTCTCCTGATCAGGCCGCCGTCGGATTCCGTTTTTTCACTGCAAAACTCATGTGAATCCCGGTAATTAATCAAGCCAGAGCATCTGCTTCTTCTGCAGCAGGTTCAGAAACCAGAATCTCCGAGGCTCGGGCAGGCAGTCGTGATGCTGGCGTCAGCCGGGGGCGTCCCTCGAGACTCTGACTGACCGCTCACTTGGTGTTGGCTCGGCGGGGCGTTGCTGGCCAAATTAATGGCACACGAGGGCGACAACTGCATCCAGCGGGGCGCATCAATCTTTCGATCTTTTCCCCTCTGCCCTTTTGTTTCCCACCCTTCTCTTTTCATGAATAGTCGGGGCTCGCGACGCGTCGCTCTCCGCTTCACCTGGACTGTAGTATACGACGCGTACGTACGAGCGTCTCTCTACGCCTACGCGCGCGACAGTACACACGAGCACGTAGGCACACCATGCACCCACGTGCCTCCGTATGCCTCACCTACCAACGGCCGGATCCGTGTCTAGCGTACGCAGTACATACGTGTACGAGTGTACCGGCCGGAGCGCAGTGCAGTCCAGCTCGGCGAGCGATCCATCGGCGCCGCGGTCATGCCGTTGTCCGGTTGCCGACGTGGCCGCCACCAGCGGGTGAGTCACCCTCCACCATGGCCGGCCCAGAGACCCCGGGAGGGCCGTCCACCTACTTCGCCGCCCGCCGTCCGATCGGCGAGGCAGGGCTGTAATTACACGAGGCGATCCTCTTTAGTATTTGGTCCCGTCGTATTTACACAAGGGTATTGTTTTGATGGTGAACAAAATCCATTCTACTAAATTCTTTGCGATGCAGTTCAAAACAAAAACAAAAAATTGGTACTATTTGTTTGGATGCTTGCTAATTTCTATGGCATGACAATGACTTTTTGTCTACTCTAATTCATTTTTCTTGCCAATGCTCCCTAAAATCGTGGGCAACCAAAAAACCATTTTTATATACGCCAAACTGAACCTGGCAAAAAAAAAGTTCCAGCCGTAACCTTGTGGGCGTATCGGGGCCGTCCACGTGGCAACCTGGGTGACACCGTGGTAGGGGTAGAGTGGATGAACTGGCACTGTAGCTTCGATTTGAGCTGACAGAAACAGGGAGATGAGATGCAATTAAGGCGGCCGTTGTGGCTTGCCTAGCCATGAAGATGACACCCATGCTTTGTTTGGAGGAACAGTGTTCAACTCCAGCGAAAGGGCAGAGCATGCATGCACGGTCAGCTCACCTAGCCAGGGGGCTCTGTCCGGCACATGCTTGGTAAGTGGGAGCATTAGCTTTCCCACTGGAAATGATGGCCATGCTTAAAATAACCTCACTCCTCTCTCTCTCCCACAAGGAAAAGAAGAAGAAGAATCTCATTCCCTCGTCTTGATCAGCAGCAGCTTTCCAAAGCAGATGGCAAAAGGGAGAAAAAAGCAGGGGAAGCCAGAGGAAGAAGAAGAAGAAGTTGATGATGATGAGATGCTGCACTGGAGCCACATGAGGAGTGCCACCTTTTGTCTGCACCGCCTCTGCTTGCTTGATCATGGGGGAGACCAACACTAGCCAGACAACCTCATATCCACAAATCAACATTTTTAACCCTTTTTTCTGCTGTTTTTGAATAGTAAAAGAGCTTCCTTCTTCTCCCAACTTCACTGAACAAACTAATAAAGTTCAGCATGGTGTTTACGACAGGATCTGAATGCTGATAAAGAAACATAAAATTGCTGGCAGTGGCAAAGCACCTCTTGTTGAGCAACATCACTTGCTGATAAACAAGTGAGGGGTGGAAGTGGAATAGATTAAGTTTTCAAAGTCAGCTTCAGTGGCCTCTTAACTTCGAGCTTCCTGGCATTCTATTCCTTCTTCTCATCTCAGTCTCCATGGCATGACACTCAAATTTATACTCTTTTTTTTTCTGGGGAGACTCAATGCAGTACAACGAGTATTCCAAGCATAACGAATACAGTACAATCACCCAATAATCTGATGGCAAGGTCAAACCACTAGGATTCACACATTACTATGTGGTAATAGTACTGATAATTAACTCTCTCAGGTAACATGTAGTAGTGGTAGTAGCAAACTTTTTTTGCATATGTATATCACTACGTACTCCCTTGTGCTTATTAAACCAGCAAAGTAAAAGAAAAAGGCAAACTAAAAAAAAACGCTAGTAGTAAAAAAAAGAAAGGCAAAGAAGAGATTACACTAGCGATTAAGTACTCCTAGTATATTTGATCATCTAGTCTTCGCAAGCATCTGCTACTCCCAAAGGAGCGGCTCCTCGAGCCGGAGGTCTGCATTGACCTCCTCGACGTCGGGGAGCGGAGCCCACATGGTGGAGAATCCGAATCCGTCCTCGATGTCGATGAGCAGGTCCGGCAGGTCGAACAGCTGCCGCAGCTCCTCCTCCTCCGCCTGCTCAGCGGCGCCGCCGCAGCTCGTAGCCGTGGCGGCAGACTCCGGCGGCGCGGTGGCGCCCGCGCCGGCGTCGTTCTTGACGGTCTCCTCTTGGATGAGGCGCTCCTCCGACTCCGACTGATCCGTGGACAAGGGCGGCGGCGAAGACGTGAACGCGGCGGCCAATGCGGCGGCGGCCTGCACGTCCTTGGGCGCCGGCGAGGCGGCGCGCGGGAGGACGTCGGCGAGCTCCGGGAAGTTGAGGTGCGCGGACCGGGCGCCCTTGATGGCGAGCGCGGCGACGTCGTGCGCGCGCGCGGCCATCTCGGCGGTGGGGAAGGTGCCGAGCCAGATGCGCGACTTCTTGCGTGGCTCGCGGATCTCCGACACCCACTTGCCCCACGCCCGCATCCGCACGCCGCGGTACACCGGGTGCTTCCCGTCGCTGCTACGCTTGCTCTTCTTCTTTGTCGTCGCCGTCGTCGTCGTCTTCCCCTCCTCCGTCTCCTCCTGCCCTCCCTCTCCCTCGTCCAGCTGCCGCTTGCGCGGCGCCGCCTTCACGGCATTGGCGGCGCTCGCCGGCGAGGAGGGACACGACGAGGAGTCCGTGACGGTGGACGAGCACGACATGGACGTGGAGCTGGTCGTATACGACGACGTCGATGACGACGAGGACGACGAGGTTTCTTGGAGCTCCCGAGCAGGCGCCATGGTCGCGTGCAGTGGGTGCACGACGAGGGAAGGAGTATTGGCTTTGCTTGCCGCTCCGCCTTGGACTTGCGGTGGTGTGTGTCTGTTCGTATCTGCAGTGGGGGTTTATATGAGAGAGAGGGAGGTGGGAGAAAAGTTTACTGGTGAAAAAGCTAATTAAGAACGGAAAGGTTAAGGCCTACACGTGTGGGCGTTAGCCAACTCGCCCACACGCCTACATCACCATCCAACGCCTTTTGCACGAATCTTGGCATAAAAAAATTGATTTTATATGCCACGTAGGACCACTCGTGTGTGTGGCATGTGGGGGAGTTCGCCCACACGCCTGTTTTCTCTCCGCGGCCAACGTTCGCCAGTCGGGGCGTGCGATGGAACTGCTGTCGCGCCCTCACGCCACGCACCACTCCTGTTTCACATCTCCCACGACTGCCATTCACCCACTCTCCCACACCTAAACTGTCATTTGCCATGTTTTTGAAGGGTACATGGCAACTGCCCTATTTGTGATTGTAAGCATACGGCAACTCTCTTTTTACCCGAACATGTTATTGTTGCCACGTCTGTTTTGCAGCGTTACATGGCAACTGTCTAGTGTTAGTAGGTGGCAACTCCTAAAGATACCACCGTCACCCACATGTCCGTCTCCTCTCCCACACACCAAAAGCCATCAGTTGCCATGTGTTTTGCAGGATACATGACAACTGCCCTCCTGTCTCCTCTCCCACACACCAAAAGCCATCAGTTTGCCATGTGTTTTGCAGGATACATGGCAACTGCCCTCCCGTCTCCTCTCCCACACACCAAAAGCCATCAGTTGCCATGTGTTTTGCAGGATACATGGCAACTACCCTAGCATGCTTGTAAGCAGATGGCAACTCTCTTTTTACCCGTAACATGTTTTTTGCCATGTTTTTTAGTGCTACATGGCAACTGTCCAGTGTTAGTAGGTGGCAACTCTTAAAGTTTTCCAAAATCATGATAACTGTAGTTGTCCGATATGGCAACAACTGCAGTTGCCCAAAAATGGCATCCGGCACTTGACCTAAGACGGCAACTGCAGTTGAGCAACCATGGCAACTGTAGTTGTCCGACATGGCAACTGTAGTTCAGCAATATGGCAACTGCAGTTGAGCAACATGGCAACTGAAGAGGGTCCGGACCATGCCAATCGTGGCGGGACGCGTGGTTACTGACACGCGGGGCGTGTGGCTCGCACGTGGGGAGGGGCGACGGCCGAGACGGGTCTTGCGGGCCGCGTGCTCGCTCACCCGGACGTGCTCGTGCGGGGCGATCGCGCTGCATCGAACGTGCGGGCTGTGGCTGCGCGCGCTCGGACGCGGTCGTGTGGGCGGGGTCGTCTCCGTGCCACACAGGACGTGCGGCACAACCACCCGATACACCACACGTGTGGCAGTTATCGGGGTCCATTAAGAAACCATGGGGGGGCGATATATATGCTTGGTGCCCCCCTGGTCTTGTCCCCACTGTTTTGTTTCCAAGGGCACATGTTCATCATTGGCTTTTCGGTGCCTTGTGGCACTACATGATATACATCATCATTTCACAAAATTGGCACCACAGATTCAACGGTACAAATTTGAGTGGTGGTGGGCTTTGGAGCTAGGACAAGGGAGAATATCAGGTGATGCCACCATTCACATGCATGCTCCTCCCATGCTCCTAATTTACATTTAAATGGTTCACAATTATTTGATTTTTTTTTCGTGTGCATGTCTATAAGACAAGTATCTGCAGCCCTTTAAATTTTCAAACAAAAATTCGTAACATGCATAGAGAAACAAAAAAGGAAATCCAGATGTGAATAGCGTCATGTTTCCACGTTGTTCATGTTTTTGTCTTTTTTGACACTATTCATATTATAATTTTTCTTTTTTGTTTCTCTATGTGTATTTTGATTTTGGATTTGATTTTTTAAATAGTTGTAGACATCCCTTGTGAACATCCACAACTTTTGTGAATTTTTAAAACATTTAAGTGCGAGTTTCTATAATTAGGAGCACTTGTGCATGCGAATGGTGGTATCACCTGATACCAAGGACAAGTTCTTTTGGTAGATTAAAAAAATAAGCCGCCTCCTCCCCGGCATTTTTCATAAGCCGCCTTTTTTATTTATTAAGACTTTTAAACTAGTTATGGATTAACTGATTTAGAAGTGTCAACAAAATTAGGAGGCGGCTTATTTTTGAAGCTGGGAGAGGCGGCTTATTTTTTAAGCCGCCCAAAAGAATGGCCCTTACCCGCTAGCACAATATGCAGGCGGTGCTCATAAATATGATGTCGTGTTTTATTTGTCGAAACGTATGGGGCAAGACCAACTCTAGATCGGAGTCGTCTTTAATTTAGGTACTATGGAGATTTTTGGTTACCAAAATTGAGATTATCTATAGAAAAAAATAGTTGGAACTTTGTTACATGTGTAGTTAGATTTCCAAACTTTTCAGTACACACTAGATATTCAGTGATACAAATTCAAGTGGTTGTGGATGGTTTTCCCTTTTTTCCAAGGGGCTAGTTCAATATGCAGAAGGGTGCTCATATGTATATTGGACGAGACAACTCTAGCTCTGAGTCGGTGTTAAGTTAGGTAGACTATGGAGATTTTTTTTTTCTTTTTCAAAATTAAGATTATATATTAATAAATTAGTTTAATATTTCTTAAATGTTAGCTAAACTTCCAAACTTTCCATTAAACACCTGTTCATCACCCTTTTATATCACCACACATATAACCTACAACTAATAATTGTATCAAGGTTCTGCCAAAGTTATACATTGGCAGTAACATAATATTAGGCAAATAATGTGCAATTATTGTTGGCTAAGGTTTGTGAAAGTTCCTGACGGCCGAGAATCAATAGCACCATTTTAATTATAATTCATGAACCTTCTTGAATCGTTACACAAAAAAGTTGACGTGTTTTTTTTTTGCGGGTAGAGTTCATGTCTTGTTGTTCATATACGGTACAATAGGGTTCATTCTTGAAGAAGTCAAGACATACATGATTTTCCATTGGTGAATTCTATAAGATATTCATATGAGTGCGATCTCGAAAACAACAAAAGAAGTATATCAGATTCTGTAATTTGCAAATTCAGTCTTGTAAAAGAAGCAACGTCGCTCCTTTACAAAAAAGAAACAACATCACGTAGATCTTTTGATGTGCATGGTTGGGTAAATCCGTGTAAAACCTGCACACCATTTTGATGTGCACACCACAGGGGTGGCACATATCAGCATCAAGCCCATTTCATACCAGTGCCACAATGTGATGTGATGTGACGGCCTCATGCAAAAAAAAAAACGTTGCAGCACACCATCATCACGCCTATGATGGTTGCATGCATCGTTCTGATGTAAAGGCTGAGGGGTCATCCTTCTTTACAATTTTTTTTATCATGACTATGCTAAATAATAAGTATCCATCTGCCCTTCTTTGTTCGGACGAGATCTAATTGCGTTGAATGACTTCAAATCATTTCCCTCGTCTTATATTTGGACGAACCAGGGTATTTTCTCTCAGTTCACTTCTCACCGAAAAAAGAAGAAGTGAACTGAGTTGAATCCAAAATACAATAGCTGACAGCTTGGGCCCATTTGCCAGAAGAAGCTGGCAGGGACATGCGCAACGCTCTGTTCCTT